AGGTGTGGTGAACATGAAGGCCCTGCAATTCAGCCAGCGCAGGGAAGTTCTACCACGTGAGCTCAGGGTAGATGCTGGGAATCACCTTCACATGCACTGGGTTTTTTTTTTCTGTTTTCTTTTTTTTTCTTTGTTTTGTTCTGCTTTCTTTTAAAATTATATTTTATTGATTATGCTATTCCAATTGTCCTAATTTTTCCCCCTTTCCCCCTTCCACCCAACACCCCCACACCTCAGGCATTCCCCACACCATTGTTCACGTCTGTGGGTCATGCGTGTAATTTCTTTGGCTGCTCCATTTCCTATGCTATACTCTACGTTCCCATGGCTGTTCTGTAACTACCTATTTGTACTTCTTAATCCCCTCACCTCTTCACCCATTCCCCCTCCCCCTCCCATCTGGCAACCATCAAAATGCTCTCTATCCATGATTCTGTCTTTGTACTTATTTGCTTAGCCTTTGAAGCTGCTACCCGGATACTGAAGCTCAGAGGGAGTGAGTCTGTATAAGTTCGGGTGTGGCCTTTAAGAGGAACTGCCTGGGGCTCCAGATGTTTCTTCCATCAACTCAGTCCCTGCTAGTTTTTGCAGCCAGGAGTTGTGGGGACTCGTCTTCCTGGCACTGGAACCGTGAGCTGGGGGGTCTGCCGTGGGGCTGGGACCCCTCACTTCTGAGATATCCCCCCACAGTTTTTATCCACCGCACGTGGATTTAGGGCCAGCCCCTTCCAGGTCGCTGCCCCTCCTACCAGTCTGCATGGATGTGGTTTCTTTAATTCTGTAGTCGTCGGACTGCCATTCAACTCAAATTCTGATGGTACAAGTGATGGTGGTTCTCTATTTTGGTTTCAGTTTTGATGCACTGAGTATTTTTAAAATTAATTGAATACAAAAGAATGTTAAAAATATATGTAGAGCAACAGAACTATAGTGAACCAACAGTCACACGGTTGCCAGAGGTTAGGGTTGGGGAGAGAGTAGATAGCAAGTATCTGTGTGGAAACTGAATAGCTTTGAATCTTGATTGTGATGGTGATTATGCAAATCTATACACACAAGATAAAACTTGATAGAACTGTATACACAAACACACAGTACATAAAAAAGAAAAACTAGTGAAATCTGAATGTGGTCTGCAGTTGGTTCCTAGTATGCCCCCAAGGTGAAGTTCCTGGTTTAGACCTTTGAACTTGACTGATGTAAGGTGGTGTCACGGGGGAAGGGGGGGTCAGGGATGCAGAGGAAGTCGCTGCTCTTTTTGAAATTTCTATGTGAGTGTAACATTATTCTAAAACAAGAAGCTTTTAAAATTGAAAGAATTTCAAACATAAGAACACAACCTAGATCCATCAGTAACGACCCACTTCAGGAAAGAGCTTCGCCATTTTTCTGAAAGCCTTCAGAGCACTGCGCCCCGCTCCTTCCCTCTCCACCCCGCCCCCAACCAGGAGTAACTTCTGCATTTTCATTTCCATTGTCCCTTTTCTTTCCTTTATAGTTTTACCTTATACATTTCTCTCCTTAGAGAACATATTGTTTAGTTTTGCATGTTCTGAATGGTATATAAATGAAACTATTCTGCATACATTCTTTCACTAATTGCTTTTTCACTCAATATTTCTTTTCTAAATTCCATCTGTCTTATGTAGCTTTTTTATTTGTTCATTGGTGTATTCATTGTGAAACACAACAATTTATTTATCTGTGCTGCTGTATATTAACATTTGGTCTGGTTTCAACTATTTTCCCCAGTTGTGCACAGCACTACTATAACCTCCACAGGTCTCCTCCCACACAGCAACCGGAATTGTTCTAGGGACTGTGCCTTGGGGTGGAATTACTGGGTCAGAGAGTTCAGCTGCTTTTTTTAAGTTAGTAGCTGATGGTAAAGTATCTTCTAAAGTAACTGTTGTTCTGAATTGTCACTAACATTTGGTACTGTCAGGATTATTTCCTGTGTGTATAAGTATAAAATGGTACCTGAGTATTATAGTTTTAATTTGTATGGTTTTTGTAAGTTCTAATAGGATTGAGAATTTTCCATATATGTTTGTCCATTTCTTTCTCCTCTTCTGTGAAATATGTGTTTAACACTTTTGCCCATTTATCAGTTGGATGGTCTTTTTCTTTTTTAAGTATATTTTATTGGTTATACTATTACAGTTGTCCCGGTTTTTCTCCTTTTGTCCCCCTGTCTGATACCCCCACTCCCTCCAGCAATCCCCCGCCTTAGTTCATGTCCCTGGGTCATGCATATAAGTTCTTTAGCTTCTCCATTTCCTATACTGTACTTACATGCCCTTGTCTATTTTGTACCTACCAATATGTAGTGATGTATGGGAATTTTTTATATATTCTGGAGATTGATTCTTTGTGTTGCAAATACCTTCTTCCAGTTTCTAACTTACCTTTTTCTTTCACTGGTGTCTTTTAAGGAACACAAACAATAGTTATTGCATTTTAAGAATAACTTTATTTATAGCACATATTTTTTCAAAGAAATATTTATAAACCAGAAAAATCATAAAATCATTCCACTTAATACCTTTTGTAATTCTACTTTTGTAGAATTACACTAATGTTTTAGTATAGTAGAAATGGCTTTTATGTAGGTTGTGAAAGGTTTAATTTTATGTTTGAGATACATAGGTAATTCATTTCCTCTATACCCAGATATTAATATATATATATATATTAATTGTATATATATACAATAATATATATATATATTCCCCCAGGCACCTGCAAAATCAGCTCTAGAAAAAAACAGATTTCTGTGCATGTTTTTTAATTTGATCTTCATTGTGCATTTTGCCTTTACCATTTAGTTCCCTTATGCCCTCCTCCCTCCAGCCATTACCACAGTGTTGTCCATGCCCATGAGTTCTCATTCCTCTCTCTGCATGTTTAAAACTCTTCCTGGGCCCTCTACTTTTCTGCACTGGTTCGTCCATGTGTTTTCTCTCCAATATCACACTACCTTAATTGCTTTAGCCCTGGGATAATTTAGTATCTGGAAAGCAAGTTCTTCCATGTGGTTCTTCGTTTTGCATGTCTTGTCTATTTTTTCACACACATTTTAGAATCAGCTTGCCCAGTTTCTCCAAGGCTCAGAGGAATTGGGATTAGAATGATATTGAATTCACAGACTCATGGATCTTCACATGTATGTGCATATGTGTATATATATATATATATATATATATATATATATATATACTTGATCCCATTTGCAGACCAATAGATCATTCATACAGCATCACACTGCATTAGATCACGGGTGCGTGTCAGGGTCGGGAGTTGGTCTCACGTGGAGGTGCACGAAGCCATTGGGTTCCTTCCCCCCAACTCTAGTGCACCAGTGTGTGGTAACAATGTGGAAGGAGTTTCACCCAAACTGCCATGAGCAGGGCTTTTGCTTAAAGTGCCGTGGCCTGAGTCAGATGTCAGGCATTGTAATTACTATTACAGAAGTACATCACCGATACACTGCTGAACCCATGAAGGTTTTATTTCTGGGTGTGCCCACTACAAAACACTGCAACTGGACCTGGAAGCAAATGCTGTATAACAGCAGTAAAAAAAAAAAAAAAAAAAAAAAAAGCCTTTTATGTCTATTCATGTCTTCCCACCTATAAACTACTAATGAGAGGTTTTGATCAAGGACTATTTATTAAGTTGGTTCAGATGAGAGTCTGAGCTGGTGCAACCTGGCTTCAGGATGAGACTGAAAAATAGAGTGTAGACTGCTTTGCTCTTAAATTAATAATTATATTTTTTGCAGTCCAATTAGGGCTTGATTTTTTAAAAGCCACATGAAGCTTAGAGGCACTGGATACAAGAAACTTGTTGAGCCATTTTTCCCACCACTGAGGCCTGTGCACAACCTCATTTATCTTCACCGGGGAAGCCCAAGGAGGCCATGCACTGTGGCTTCACCTTTAAAGGTCCTGTACGAGGTTTTGGGGGTATATAGTTTTTATTTTAATTATTGTTGAAGGACAGTTTTATGCCTTTTACCCTCAACCCTCCCTACCTCCCTCCCATTTCCATGCCCCCCCCTTGTTATTGTCCATGTGTCCTTTATACTTATTCCTGCAAACCCTTCCCCCTTTCTCCTGAAATCCCCTCCCCTCTAGTCACTGTCAGCCTGGTGTCAAAAGTCCTGTATGTCGATGGGTATCCCATGTGTCATGGGCCGTACCCATGGCCCATGAGGGTCAAAGGCTTTCCGGTAAATTCTTCAGGCACTCACCTTGCGGGAAAAGACATCAGTGTGCCACTCCCTAAGAAGTAGGCCCTCCCGGATGTTGTTTTGTAATCTGATTCTCGTGAGACATTGACTGAGGACAATAACGGCCCAGAATCAATGACAAGACACAGAGGCCGACCCTGAAGAGATGCTCCTGTGTGTTCATTTGACTTAGTGTCGATCGGTTGACTGATAACATCTAACTGTTAATCATAGTACTGCTATTCAGAAAAGGCATCACTTTCCAAATTGTGTGGGCGTGTAACCCCAAATGACAAAACAGTGTGTAGCAGTTGTTTGGGGGCCTAGGGTGGCCAGGCTGGACCCTTGCACTCAAGAAGCTTACAATTAATACATAAAATATGAAGGAAGCCTTATTGCCACAGGACCGGTGGGGACAGTTCACTGAGTCAACCCGAGGGGGCCCTGGGGTTTGGAGAAGGATGGCGGTGGCAGGCAGAAGCAAACAGCCCTGATTGTCCGCTGGTGGCCTCAGTGGAGCATCCATTTGGAGCAGTGGTCTGTCAACTTTTTGGCTTCCTTCTTTCTGCAAGAAGTGTTAGAAGCTGTCTGCCTCCTCCTGCCTGTGTGGCCAGCTGGGGACAGTCGAGTGAATTGCCACTGAGCATGCTCCGCAGGCACAGTGTGCTGTGCCAGCTAATGAGGACAGATACCTCCGGGGGTTGGTTGGGGTAGGGGAGACTCGGGTGTCCTCCTTTAAATGCTAGGGTAACTAAACTCTAGTTAAATACTTACCTGGCGGGGGAGATACCATGATCACGAAGGTGGTTTTCCCGGGGTGAGGCTTACCCATTGCACTCTGGGTATGCTGACCCCTGGGACTTCCCCAGGTGTGGGAGACTTAACTGCATAATTCGTGGTTGTGAAGGACTGTGTTCATGCTCTCCCCTGAAAAATAAAGAAAAACTCTCATTACTACTAAGTGCCTGCCACCTGCCAGGCCTTATCCTGAGCCCTTTACGTGGTTTATCTCACCGTTCACCAGAGCCCTATGTAATTGGTGCCAGAGTTACCCTCGCTGAATAGAGAGCGTCTTGTCTCATCCCAGCGTGACCATCAAAACAGCTTTTGCCTGGAAGCTCAGATGTGGGTTCAGTCTCTGCTTCCCTCTGAGCTTTTGCGTCTCAGGTGGGAAGGGCTGTCCACTGCTGGGCAGGGCCACAGAGGTCAGGGTGCGCCCTTGTCTCTCGCTCTGCAGCAGTTTCAGCAGGCGGGGCAAGTGTCTCCTTATGGGGCTGGGTTTGGGGGAGCAGGGGAAGCCCCAGTCCACTTTGCTGCACCCAAAGGAGCACAGTGACGTCACGACATCACCAGGGTGACCCTGGACTGCAGTCTGCCTGAGTTTGCCGTAGAACCTGCCAGGGGCGGGGAGCCCATCAGACTTCTTGGGAACCTCCAGAGATAAATCTGACAAGTCAGAGAAAAGAAAAAGGAAAGTGGGGAAGAAAACCCCACAGGAGACATGGTGGTTCTTTGTCAGTTTCAAAATCGACAAAATCTGTAACTTTAGGCAAAATCAGGTTAATGCTGGTAGCAAACACTGCACAGTCACAGTGTCCCCTGGGGGAAAATGCAAGTGTAGAGAGCTAGACTCTTACCCTCACAAGTTTTGATAACAATTGCCTTTGGGCCTCATTTTCTCATTAGATGCTAATAAATGTTTTCCATCACTTGCAAGAAAGGTTTTATCAAATTCCATTTCCCAGAACACAGTGAATGAAATGGAAACCCCCTTTTCTGGTTGTGGAAAAACAAAAACAAAGAAAACCTGAACCTCCCGGCTCCGTGTTGCTGGAGTCCCCTCTGGTTTTGCTAGGTGGCGCCCCAGGCCAGCGCATGGGCCCCCGGCCCGGGAGCGAGAGCTGGCAGAGGCTCCCTTGGGGGGCTCTGTGCCTCTCCAGAGCTGGTCAGGCCCCTCACTCACAGGAGCTGCCCCCCATGGCGGGGCCAAGGCTCCGGCCTCTGGCATTTTAGAAATTGTTCCCTTTTTTTCTCCTTTCACCTTTCCGGTTGCTCACAGTTGGCCATGAGAAGGGTTTTAGGCCCTGAGTTTTGTCTGTTCTTGAGGAAAACCCTGGGGATCTTAAACTGACCTTAAATACTGTGCCTTTCTGTCTGAATCTCCCAGAAGTTGTTGAATTAGGGGAGGAAGAGCCAAGCTCTTATTGAAGAATGGAAGGACAGGACAAGAATCGAAAGGTTTGCACCAGCTACAGCCCCATCTCCAGAGTCCCCTGAGGGCCCAGTGTGTCTCAGCCTCCCTGGGGGGGGCCTGGGACGACCTTCCTCTGTCCCTCAGCTCCCAGAGCCAGCCTGTGGCAGAGGAATAGCAGGCCCTGCTGTGGGCGCAGTGCTGGGTCCCGAAGCTCCATGTGGTCTGGAGGACACCAAGTTCTTTTTGTCCTAAGAGAACCCCACTTCCCCGCTGCCAGAGGCCTCCAACTCCCCGATTACTCACTCCTTTGCCAGAAGACATGAAAGACTCCTGAAAAGGCAGATGCCATGGAAAGTTTTCATTGGAAAAGTTGGAGGACAGATTCGTGGCTCTGTGGCCCCGCTCAGAGAGAAGCCCAGGGGGCAGCCAGTCGTGGGTGGGATGGGGCGGGTGGGCTGAGGCGCCAGAGGAAAGCGCCAGGATGGACACAAACTCCACACACCCGGTGTGTCTGGGGGCCGCAGCTTCCTCAGTCACACACACCTCTGTGTGCCCAAAGGTCCCCAGGCCTCCACGTACCCTCCGACATCTCCACGAGCTCCCGCATGTGTGTCCCCGTGTTGGTTCTGACTCATTCAGGCCCTGCTTGCCTTCCCCAGCTTCAGGCCTAGGGGCACCTGGCGGTGGGCGGCAGGAGGGTAAGGAGAGGCCCTGGCCCGGGGGCAGGGGGGAGGTCACCCGCACCAGGAGCAGGATCACCAGGACCAGCCAGGCCTGCTCCTCCCCCAGGACACAGGCAGGGCTGCCACCAACAGAGAGCACACTCGGGACACACAGGCCCGGCACCGATAACGCCCCTCTTACTACAAAACCGTGAGCAAGTAACATACTGTAACATAACAATATCACACTCAAGCACACCGTCTGACGTTTTAGGTGAGATGTTTCCAATTTACATCTAAAAATTATTACATCCCTATTATTACCCCACCAGGCCTTTCTTCCGCCAGACAGTGTAAATAGAAGGGAGGAAATACTTTGTAAAAGGAACATATAAAAAGTGAAAACAGTAATGAAAATATAATTTGAAAAATATGTGTGTGTGTGTGTTAAAAATGGACAGCTGTGGATTTTCGCGGCCACGTTGTGAGGTGACTTGTTCTGAACCCCCGTAAAGACGTGTGTTCGAGCAATGGCAGGAACGCGTCCTAAGCCATGTCCATCTTGCTACCTCTGCGTGTTCCCGTCCCGAAGAACCTGTCTGCCCTTCCCACATTTGTCTCTGTCGTAGCAAGGCTGCCTCTTTTGGCAATAAACATCAGTAAACTTAAGTGCTGTGAGTCATATTTTCAATTTTTAATTAAATCATGGGCTAGCTAGAGTTTGATTTATTTAGGCCTGAATTAATTCCAACCCTGGCCCACATAAATTTACATAGTTTATTTAACAGAGCTCGTGATTGCATAGATTGTCACATTTCTTAGATAACCGTGTAGTTTGTAAAAGCACTCTCACTAAACAGAGTGGTAGAATATCATTTCTAAGGGTGGCATGAGCTTCATTCTTAAAACTAACATTATTAAGGAAATGGGTTGTTTTCCTAAATAAAGACATTTACGAGATCACTTAAAGATATTTTTCATTCCATGTGTTTTCACTCAGGGTTTCAGTGATATGGCAAAGCCTCATTAAAAACCAGCGGTGCTAGTTTTTTTTTCCTTTCCCAGAATGGTTACAGCTGGTTGTAAACCCATATAGTAAGCATCTAGCAAAACACTCATTTGCTTCCATCAAATATAGTAAATACTGTTTTAAACTGCAAGGCGTGAGTCATACAGATATCACTTTCCTAGAATTCTAATAAAAAAGAGCATCATGGCTAATTAGTGTTCCCAAGAAAGGGTCACAGCTTGCAGGAAATAAATCGGAAGGGGACGGGAAGGAAGGGTGGGAGCACAGCACACTCTGGCTGGGGATTGTTGGTGAGATCCGTCCTCCTGCTGCCAGAAAGTACCGCCTCGCACGTTGGACCAGACTGCAAACGCAGGGGCGGAGCGAGGGAGGGAAAGCCGAAAGGTGGGGAGAAGGAAAGGAGAAGCTGGGGCTGGTGGGGTTCAGGAAAAGTGGCCCAGCGGGCAGCAGCGAGACCCCCTGGAACGCAGCACTGGTCCCAGCCCACGGTCAGGTTGCTCTGCCAGTTTCGTGTTGCCTCTGGCTGTTCAAAACGATTGACGAGCCCTTCTGGGTGTTCAATGTGATTGAATGCGCACATCTGGCAGTTCAGCCCTGATGACTCAGTTGAATCTGTGGCCGGCAGCAGGGCATCCTGTAACCCTCAGAAGGGAAAGTGAGTCAGATCGATCTTCCCCCAAAGGCACAAGGAAACTGGCTTTGAGGGAGGAAAGCAGGAGGCTCCCCGGCGTGCGCTCCAGTGGGGCCACGTTTTGCCCTCCGTGCCTGCCTCCCCGCGGCCTGGGGCTGGGGCAGAGGGCTGCCCAGCGGTCCAAGCTGCTCTCCTGCCTGCCCTCCTGGTCCTCGTTTACAGCGGGCCCCCCATTTCCAAAGGAACCACCGGGATGCAAGGTCTAGTGCAGGGTTATTGCTTCTGATGGATGGTTTGATGGACACGAAACCTTTACAAAAAGTCTAAAAATCAAAGCCAATCTCATTACATGCTTAATGTACTTATTTGTCAGAAAGAAATGAGGATTCTTCCGGGAAATCTGGAAAGGGTGGGTGAGTGTCATACTTCTAGCAATTCCTGAAAATCCTTATGTATTATTCATCTTCCTGGAGGGAGGGGCTCCGAGGGACTCGATTGGTTCGCAGCGCCAGAAGCGAAGCCGCATTCATCTCAAGGAGGGATATGTCTAGGAGTTGTTTGTGTTTTTGCTTAATCTCTTCACCTTTCTCACCCAGTCCCCCAAACCTCCTCCCTTCTGACAACTGTCAGTCTGTTCTCTGTATCCAGGAGTGCCTTGAGATTTTGTTTGTTTATTTTGTTCGTTAGATTCCACATCTAAGTGAAATCATATGGTACTTATCTTTCTCTGACTGGCTTATTTAATTAGCATAAAGCTCTCCAGCTCCATCCATGCCGTCACAGAAGGTAATATTTCCTTCTTTTTTGCAGCCGAATAGTAGTCCGTTGTGTAAATGTATCACAGCTTTCTTATCCACTTAGCTACTGATGGACACTTGGGCTGCTTCAAAATTTTGGCTGTTGTGCCCAATGCTGCTGTGAATATAGGGGTGTGTATACTCTTTCAAATTAGTGTTTTGGGTTCCTTCAGATAAATTCCCAGAAGTGGAATCGCTGCTTCAGAGGCAGTTCCATTTTTTATTTTTTGAGGGGTCTCCACACTGTTTTCCACAGCGGTTGCACCAATCTGCATTCCCACCGACAGTGCAAAAGGGTCCCCTTCTCTCCATGTGCTTGCTAGCACTTGTTGTGTGTTGATTTATTGGTGGTAGCCGTTCTGACAGGTGTGAGGTGGTATCTGGTTGTGGTTTTTGATGGACTTTTCTCGGGTGGCCTTGAGCATCTTTTCCTACGAGACTGCACTTTTGATGGTGTGGGAGGAGGGTTTGGGGTGGAGAGGGACGACTGTCATATAATCAGATGAAATGTCAAGCTGGGGCAAATCCCTAAAGGCTGGGACAATTCGGGCTGATGACCCCCAGGAGCCAGGAAGCATGCGAACCCCCTTTCTGCTCTGCCCCACTGCAGATACAA